GACCAAAGATTAGAAGAAGTGGCTGATTTTAGGTATCTGAGAAGTCAGGACGGAAGGAGTAGCAGGGATATAAAGCAGAGAATAGTGTACGGTCGAGTCGCCTTCAATAAAAAGAAGTCACTTCTACGCTCGCGAACGATTAATTTAGAAATTCGAAAAAGTTTGTTAGAGGTGTATGTTTGGAGCGCGTCGTTGTACGGGTGCGAAAAATGGACGGTGGGCGCGGCGGAAAAGAAAAGGTTAGATGGGTTCGAAATGATGAGGCTAGAAAAGGTTAGAAATAAGTTAGAATAGAAGAAGAGACTCTATGGAAGTCAATAAGAAATAGGTGACATAGGTTGGTAGGATACCTTCTCGGGCATGAAGGTCTAGTGAGAGACATATTAGAAGAAGAAACGGAAGACCTAGATTAGATTAGATTCGTAAATAGTTAAGAATGTGGGTTGTTCTAGTTTTAGAGAAATGCGAAGATTAGCTCAGGGTAGAAAAGGGTGGAGGCGCGTGTCCAACCAGTCTTAGAACTGACGACTTTATGATGATGATTCAATCCTTTTCATATTATTCCAATAAATTCCGATTCGTGGTTTGAATAAGTTATCACATTGCTTTCGGTTGGCTTTGCGGAACAATTTTGTGATAGAGACGCTTAATCCTGTTACAGTAAGACGATATCCTTTAACGTTTGATCCATAAAATTACATAAATTGTACACTGGTGGTATTTCGTGCATTTCTGGCGTCTCTGCTGCATACGTATAAGATAATCAGAACCAGTAAATACAATGGGCAGAAAGTTGGGGAGTGATGCAGACAAAGCGTCTAATGAAGCTTATTTACCATTGTGCGCAGTACTGCAAAATTTCAGTTGTTCCAGAACAAAGGGAATCGCAACCAGCTCTGGATCACCGGCGCCACCACCGCCGACTATGTTTTGTTGTCGCACAAAATCGCAAACAATTTTCTCAAATATAAAACGGTCCGTCCATAATAAGACGACCGCGTTTGCTTAGTGGAACCAATTACTCTTGTACTTTTTCTTATTATTTTCTTCGTCTTTTTTTTCTTCTTTTTCCATCCAGTTATGAAAGAAACGCAGAATCCTGTCTCTGCTTGAAATGATTCCTCCAGATGTAATACACCGATAATACGTCCTATCTTAGGTGTTCTTACAATGATCTTCAAGTTTTTAAAAAAAGGTCTGCACGATAATTTTGTTGACGGAGAACGTTTTTCTCATTCTCTAGTTTTCGGGGTATAAAGGGAAACAACGGACAACTCCTTTTGTTCCTTCTTATAAAGTTTTTTAATAAATCTTTAAAATTCTTTTTGTACGAAGTACCTTTATCGAGCTATATTCCTTTTGAAATATCTTATTTAAGGAATACATTAGACCCGCTATTTCGAAGGAGAAAAAAAAATAATTAACAAACTTCTCGGAAACAAAACATTCTTTTTGTGCTTTAATAAAACAAAAAAAAAAAAGAAAAAACAGAAATACGCCTGGCTCGTTCATTAATTTTAAATAAATTATCTCGATCCGGAATTCGTGGAATCTTGGTAACAAACACCAACTAAAATTTCCCTCGTGTTTTCAACCTTCAAAATCAATATTAAGTATCCCTTAACGGAAAAATTTTCACGTTTTTAAAAATAAATTACTAAATCGTGACTTCACAAATTCTACTTACAATTTGTTAAGGTTCCGTACGTCTTAAGGTGAAATAAAATGTTATTGTCCACCAAACTTATTCTTATTTACTTTCCTATAACTAAAATTCTTAAAAGTTGTCAAACTTAAGAAAATTGATACAATATTCCTAGGTTTGAAAAATTAAAGGTTTATAGAAAAATTCGCTGATTTTCAACATGCAGAGAATCAAATAACGAAATTTAACGAAGGAATGTTTATGGTTTTAATTTTGTCGAGGTCAGCAAAATTACTTTACATAAGAATGCCTGGAACTCTATTAGTTTGAGTTACTACATTTGAAATTTCTAGAAATTCACCAGATAACCGGGTACCCGGCAAAACCACTACAGTTAATAGTTCACATCTTCGTTCTGGCAAGCTTTATATTACGATAAACACCACCCCTACCAACGTCCAAAACGAATCATTATGTTCTATTTAAAAAGTCGTTTTAATACGAAACCAATGAAATTTTAATTTTTGATTGGCAGATTTTCAACCTGACAGTTGAATTGAAACTGTTGAAATGAGCCTATAATATTTATAAACACTAAAAGTCTGCAAGGCGGTAAAATTATTCTAATACCCTGATATATCAACAAGGGACAGAAATTGTAACAGTTCGGTCATACTAATGATTCGTGCTCACAAAAAAAATAAACACAAGAACTGTACCTAAATAAGAAATAATTTAGTAAAGTAATCAATAAATACTACAAATTAGGACAAGTAACTCGTCCCAATACAATCTAACCGGACGGATCCTAAAAAAATGCCGGATCCGCCAGGTACCGACTGATTTCAACTGATTGTAGAAGACAATGCAAAGCTCTATCGCAGTTAAATTGCATTTCGTGTAGTTTATATTGGTAGAACGTACGTTTTATCTTGAAAATTTAATAAAGGCATCTGCGATTGTAATTAGGTTGTGATTACTTGCAAAATTTAATTAGGGAAAGTATGAAACGCGTCGGTGAAAAACGAGACAGACTTTATTATCCCTGATAACCACCTCCCGGTTTTCTTTATGACAGCAGATGGCAAATATCCAGTTAATTAGAAAATTACATTCGGAATTTAATATTACGATTCGGGTGAAAGAAAAGAAACTCCGGTGAAAATTCCCAACTGAAAGAAGCAGGGCTGATAATATCAGTTTTTAATCCATTTTATGCTCGAAAAGGATATTATTCCAGAGTTGAATTGAATCAACACTGAAGAAATAAAAACACAATAGGATGTTTCGCCATTTTATTGAGTCAAATACTCCACATTTGTTTCTGTCTTAGATGGTCTTACACGTTATCAAAAGTAGATCCATTTGGAAATTACCTAATCCAATAATTAATAGTATAGTACAGTCGAAATAGGAAGGCAAAGTCCCCAATAAATAATACACACTAAAGGCATATCGTTTTTCTCGTTCTTACAAACGGAAGATATCCTGTCTTTATTCTCTAGACACACCTCCTCCACAGCTGCGTCGAGGCCTGCACCTATCTTCCGTTTGTAAGAAGGAGAAAAACGATATGCCTTTAGTGTGTATTATTTATTGGGGACTTTGCCTTCTTATTTCGACTGTACTATAGAAGGCTTTACTTGTTGAAACTCCATAATCAATTGAAGGAAACGGAAGTAAAGTTTCAAAAATGTATATTAATTGTTCACAACAATTGTTTCACCATAACATTAATCAGGTGAAGATATTCTGATTAAAACTGTTACAAAATTAGCATAAATATTTACATCAATTTGATCATTTAGTAAAATGTAANCAGTTCGGTCATACTAATGATTCGTGCTCACAAAAAAAATAAACACAAGAACTGTACCTAAATAAGAAATAATTTAGTAAAGTAATCAATAAATAATACAAATAAGGACAAACGTCCTATCCCAATACAATTTTAATTACCGGTTTTTATTAGGTAGATTTTTTGTTATATGTCATCATCATCAAGGTCGTCAGTCCTAAGACTAATCTTCGCGTTTACCTAAAACTAGAACAACCCACATCCTTAACTATTTGTGATCAGTAATCTAATCTAGGTCTACCTCTACTCGTTTTAACTCCTGTTTCTGCCTCTGATATGTCTCTCACTAGACCTTCATACTTGAGAAGGTGTCCTACCAACCTATCTCGCCTATTTGATATTGACCTCCATAGAATCCTCTGTTCTCCTATTCTTTCTAATACCTCTTCATTTCTAACCTTCTCTATCCACGATATCCTCATCATTCGCCTGTAACACCACATTTCGAACGCTTCTAACCTTTTCTTTTCCGCCGCGCCCACTGTC